GAGCATTGTACACAGTACAGGAGAACATTGTACACAGTAACAGCAACATTGTGTGATAACCAACTTTGATAGACTTAACTCTTCTCAGCAATACAGGTGCCTAAGACATTTCCAAAAGACTCATGATGGAAAATGCTATCTGCATGCAGAGAAAGAACTATGGAGTGTGAATGCAGATTGAAGCACACTACTCATTCATATTCTATCTATCTGTCTCTCTCTCTGTTTCTTCTTTCTCATGTTTTTTTTTCCTTTGGTTCTAATTCTTCTTTAAAATATTACTAATGTGGAAATATGTTTAACATGATTGTACATGTATAGCCAATATCAGACTTTTGCAGAGGCATAAGCAGAAGGAAAGTGAGAAAATTTAGAACTCAAAATCTTATATAAGTGACTGTTGAAAACCAAAAACAAATAAATAAATATTTTTTTAAAAAAAGAATGTTTGAAAAAAAGTGTTTTGCTTGTGTTATCTTTTCTGAGACTCTGAGGTGTCTGCTATTATTCACATTTTATTGGTGAGAAAACTAAGGCTAAGAAAGTCAAAATGATTTACCCTGAGTCACACAACCAGTATATACCTCAAATAGAAATAGGAATGCGACAACTTTCTTGACTTTTTTCTAGCTTTATTTTTCTGACTTTAATTCTAGCATTCTATCTACTACAACATATAGCTGTCTCCTAGATAATAATAATAATAATAAAAATTGAAAAGAAACAAACAAAAAAGTGTCCTTGTACTAATGGGAATGTTTATTTTTATTTATCCTTTTGGTCATAATTTTTTTACTGACATGAAATGCTCAAAGTATAGCAAACCAAAGTATAGAATTATGTATTTTACAATGTGTATTCCCAGGTAACTAACAATTCATCTCTGACCCTGTCCTTTTGGAAACAACTCAGCATGCTTGACTTTTGGTTAAATCATTTTGATCCTAGGAAAGTTATGCTGCTATTCAAAGAAAGAAGAAAAAGAAATTAAAATTAGTAAAATATTGAGATGTGGTAACCAAATATCTTTATCAAACCAAGATTCAGCTTAATTCTCTCAGTCAGCTGTGGTTTTGATGGGACACATTCTTTCACTGTTTGATTACTACAATAATTTTTTGAGGTTCAGGCTGAAAAACCTCATGGAATTTTTTATGTTATCTCACCATTTATAGGACACTTTCATTTTGCTGACTCGGAGCAAGAAACGTTGGTTCAGACATGCCACAGTTTATCTCCCTCATTCCTACAAATTCAGATTTCACTATCTTTCTTCCAAGATAAGATGATCATAATCTCCACACCACAGGGACATTGTCATTTCTGAGGACAGATGAAGAAGAGATCTGACTTGGAAATGAACAGAAATATTATCGTTTGTGGTTTTGTGAGCTGTCGCTGCTGCTGCTGTTGTTTTGAAAGGAAAATGAGTCAAGGTCATCTGTGATTTCATCCTTCTAACTGACTTCAAGGGCACCTTGGTGGTACGAGGAACAGAGCACCAGGCCTGGAGTTAGGAAGACTCATCTTCCTGAGTTCTAATCTGGCCTCAGACACTTGTTAGCTTAAGGCTGTTTACCTCAGTTTCTCCATCTGTCAAATAAGCTAGAGAAGGAAATGGCAAACCACTCTAGTGCCTTTCCCAAGAAAACCCCAACTGGGGTCATGAGAAGTCTGAAAGGACTGAATACCAACAACTGACCAGCTGATTCCTGGCAAGGAAACTCCATCTGTGAATACTGACAACCCACCTATAACTTATACTCCGAGAGCTAACTGAGGCACTTAGGAGTTAGACAACTTGCTCAGTGAAACACAGCTAATTTGTGTCAGACACAGAATTTAAACACAGGTTTCTCTGGTTCCAAGGACAGCTTTGTGTTATTTATGCTAAGAGTTCTTTCATTTATAATTTCTCTATGTTGCTGTTGATGAGTTCTTCTCAAAGCTCAAGAAAGAACATTTTCTTTTTAAAAAAATAATAGACCTATGTACCATTCCACATGAGGGCATGTCAATTTGATAAAAATGTCTTTACCACTTAAATTAATTCATACATTTAGTGACATAAAAAATTAAACTACTAAGAGGTTACTTATTAGAAATAGTCAAAATAAAACAATATTTGTTTAGAGAAACAAAACATATTGAATCGCAAGGAAATAATTAGCAGAAATGCAATTAATCTAATACAAGATGTCAAGCAATATTAGGAAGTAAACGTTATGAGAATTCCTTCACATTAGATAAAAAATTTAAAAACAGATAAATGAAACTGACCAAATAAGACAACAGTTCATTATTCTACATATCTAAGAACATAAGTATCATGGAAAGGACTGTTTATTAAATGACAAGAATTGCTACCTAAACTGCATAAAAATCCTAGATATGACACCTAGTGTGGCAATAACGACCAAACAGATATGCAACGTAAATGTAAAAAAAATTATGGAAGCAAGGGACATAAGAAGGAGGGCAGAAAATAAGGAAGGATGGAAGGAAGGAAAGAAGGAAGAGAGGGATGAATTAAGGAAAGGAGGAAAGAAAAAATAAAGAAGGAAGGAAGGAATGATGAAGGAAGGGAAAAAAAGGAAAATAAGAAGGAAGAAATAAAGGAAAGAAAAACAAACTAAGAAGGAAGGAAGAAAACAGAAAGTTGTATACTTTCCAATCATGACAACTATGGTGAAATTTTTAGTATATAAAATGTCAAAAATTTTATATGAATAAAATAAATGCAATTAGAATAAGAGACAAACATTGCAGGAAGAAAACATTTACAATAAATATCTCAGATGATCTGATATCCAAGTCGTATATGAGACTGAGACCAATAGATGACCAAGAATATCCCCCATAATTAAATGGCCAAGGAGGATATTAATTGTTTTCTTTTTAAATATATATATATATACATATGTATGCATCTTTTAAATATCTATGTCTGTATCTATATCTTTTATTTTTGAGCAATCTAATTTCCAAATAAATCTCACCATTCCCTTGCCCAGTTGGGCATCCCTTGTAACAGAGAATCATAAAGAAAAAAGAAAAAAAATATTAGTTCAGTAAAAATAAGCAATGGCCAAGTTTCCCAGACTATGAAATTGAGTATTTTTTTCCAATTAATTTCAAAACACTTACAACCATATTGAAGATTATTCCAAATAATTAATTACAAGATGACTGTAAATGATAATAACTCTGAAGTTTAGCCTTATAATTCTCAAATGTAAAGTTATTTACAGACAGAGACTGTTTATTTTTGATGGATAATAGGCAGCAAAGTGCTACAGTGGATAGTGATGGACCATGGAATCAGAAAGACTCATCCTCATGAGTTCAATTCTGGCTTCAGACACCTGTCTCTGTCACCCTGGTCACTTAACCTTGTTTGTTTCAGTTCTTCATCTTCATCTGAGCTGTAGAAGGAAATGGCAGACTACTCCAGTATCTTTGCCAAGAAAACAGCAAATGAGATCACAAAGTCTCAGACACATCTGAAAGGACTGAACAACAACAATGGGAAGATAGACATATTTATTCAGTTTCAGTCAAGCTGTGAATAGGTACGCATAGTTTTCAAAATAATTTGGAATTAAGAAAGAGTAGTTAAGATAGGTCAAGGAGGTCAAAGTCAGAAGGAACAATCCTATATATAAGAAATTATTTATAACTGTTTTTAACTGTAGAAAACCACACTTAAAATAAATGCCCATCTACTAGAGGATAGCTGAAGAAATTATAATTATATAAATGTAATGAACTACTTCTTTAATTATCAGAAAAGAAGAATATGACAAATTCATAGAAACAGAAGAAAAATTTTCTGAATTCAGGTAGAGGGAAATAAGCTGAACTAGGGGAACAACATGTACAATGACTATAGTAATGTCAATAAAAATCCCAATTACATTTAACATATAAAAGTGACCAATCTCAATCCTGCATAATAAATGGTAAATCATTTCTGCCTTAATTGAGAAACTGATAGGTAACTGTTGACACTCTGGCTCTGCTACCTACTTTTGGACTGTGGACAAGAGAGCTCACCTACTCAGCTTCGTGTTTGTTGTATGGGAAATGATGGACTATATGGCCATTAAAATCCTTTCCCATTTCGGTCTGTCAATTAGTTCCTATGAGTCTATGAATCTGGGAAGGGAAGGGGCTGAGTCAATCGGGGATAGGATATCAAAAGGAAATAACAGAGTGAAAACCTCTTCACCTACAGCAATAGTTCAGATAAGAGGGATTTGGTGAGCAGAATATTTGGAAGGATGATGCAGGGACACATTAAGTTTGGGGATGAATGGATTCTGAATGTCAAATATTAAGTGAAAGATAATTTAGTTAAGTTTGGGAAATATTTAAGACATTGGTGAAGAAGGAATGATGGAAAAAGGTATGGAAGCTTGGTCACACGAAGCATGGTATTGTCAGTTGACCAAAGAGTACAGTACAGCTGCTGATGTTTATGAAGCTTCTAATAGGAAGGGATGGGGCAGGAGAGCTTGCTTGTACAGTTACTGTATCTGGTGATTTCATTTCTGTTATTTTATCCTTCCATTGTACATTGACCTCCCTGGCTCATTCCTGGCACTGGAAGAAAGCTAGTGGAAGAACCTGGGTCAATGACATTTAAATGACTTTTACAACACAGGATGTCAAAATACCATCAAGGAGTCCAGGTTTCTGTATGGGAGGGAAATCACAAGATGGTAGACTATCCTTTATTGTCATCACAACATTACATATGGGGTTTCCCGCAACGTGGCTTCAAAGGCTTTGGCCAACTTATATTTGGTGATGACTTTTTGGGCAGGAGTTTTTGCCAGCCCTCAAACTCAATCCAAACAAAACTTAGGGATGGGAGGGATCTGGACATGAACAATGTCTTCCATTAAGGGGCTGTGTGACATTTCAAAGGGGACATTGTTCTCTGAGGTCCTTATTAGAGCAGCTGCCCTCAGTCCATGCATCACAGGAAACGTCGACACCATGCCCGCTACCAAGTGGTTACTGCTCCTCTTCTCAGTAGCCCTGTTGGGCCTGAGCTCCGCTCAATTCACTGATGAGGGTAAGTGGGGGATACAGAGAATCTACGACTATGTTAGGAGGTTGTTGGGGGTAGTGGCACCACTGAGATCTTTCACTTTGTACTGGTCAGTCACAGGACCTGGAACATTTTAGGCACTTAAAAAATGTACTAATGTAGACAGTCATAATTAAGGCAAAAAATGACATAAATTAAATACTTTCACAATCTCATGGAGCTTGAATTTACTTTCCTTCATATGAACTGAGTAGAAAAGAATGGAACTTTATAAGAAATATGTAGGAGGCATCAATACATAGAGGACATGTGGGCATTCGCAAATGAGGGGATGCACATATAAGAAACATGAGTGACCAAGACTCATATAGAGTGATAACTCATGCTTTTGACATGGCAAGCTGCCAATGCCTTCTGCTGCTCTCATTCTATGAGTATATGCTAGGCCTGGTCCTGCCAATCACTTATGTGATCATCAATCACATAATACTGCACAGGCTTACTATGAGTCTGGGACAAGCCTGGATCTTCTTGACCTTTATTAGATATCCACATGTCTCATTCATCGCTACTGGAAAGGTAGCAAGGGCTCCACCCTTAGGACAATTAGCCTATGTCACAACCCATTCTGTTTGTGTCTACTGCTTATCAGGCCTTTTCCTTCCTCTGACATTTCTATACCTGTGCTGTCTCCTCTTAGAGGATGAACAAAATTCAGAGGATCCATTAGATGTACCAGCACCGAACGACTCCCAGGACGATGATCAGAACCCCGGCCAGCAACAAGGTGGTAACCAAAAACCTGGGCCTCCAGGTGGACAACAAGGAGGTCCTCCAGAGGGTCCGCAAGAAGGTCAGCAAGGTGGTCCACAAGGAGGCCCTCAAGATGGTCAGCAGGGAGGCCGTCCAGGTGGTCCACAAGGAGGCCCTCAAGGTGGCCAGCAGGGAGGCCCTCAAAGTGGCCAGCAGGGAGGCCCTCAAGGTGGTCCACAGGGAGGCCCTCAAGGTGGCCAGCAGGGAGGCCCTCCAGGTGGCCAGCAAGGAGGCCGTCCAGGTGGTCCACAAGGAGGCCCTCAAGGTGGCCAGTAAGGAGGTCATCCACTCTCCTCACCCCCAAGGTATTTCATTGTTCTTCTCAGTGAACCCTTGTCTATGTTTGAATATAGAATGGCTGTTAACTCACATCATATCAGTTCCCAAATTTTTTTAGAGCTCTTTCCCCTTTTCTATTAGTCTGACTCATCACACTTCTTTTCTCCCAATTATTTGCTCACCTTTGCTTATTTCTGCACCATTCTACCTGATAGAGACACACAAAGAGAAAGAGACAGACAGAGAAAGTGAGAGATAGAGAGAGGGAATGGGGGAAGGAGGTAGAGAGAGGGAGAGAGGGAGAGAGAATGAGAATGAGAATGAGAATCAAAACTTCTATTCTTTTCCCCCTCTCCTTTGTGCTATTCATCCTTCCCCTGCCCAGGGTCTTTTTCCAAATTTTGTTATTTTGTTCTTAAAATTTCAGTAATGTATGACTTTTTCATTGCCATTAGCCAATGGACCAAGTCAAGCACAGTTCATCTCTTCTAAGCCTCTTCCTTTCTTCTTTCAGTGCATAAGAAGGAAGATGGACATTCAGGAGGCACCCTCGAAGTCCTCATGTGGACCTGGATATTCGATATACTTCTTGATCTACTCCATTGTTTCTTTACAATACCAAAAAAAAAATACACTAGTAATTAAACATTGACTCCTGCCTCTCTTTATAGTGTTTGTGTCATTCAATTTTCAGCATACTGGGTTCTAGATATAGGGACAAAAGTATGGTCCCCAGCTATTTAGTGCTTGGCTGATTCCAGATTATTCTGCAGATGTAAGGCCCTGTCCTGGACTTAGTGGCTTAGTCCTGGCTCCCCAAAAGGCACCTTATTCAAGGTTGGATGGGGACCATGCATATAACAAATATTATTGAGCCCCTATAGAACTGATTTTACTTGAAGGATATAAAGAAATAGAATGTTCAGAATTCTTCAAACTCCTATATAATCTTTAATCTTTTCCTTGGAACGGAGTCTGATTTTCTCTCTTTTCCAATATTACTGAACAGCGCTAAAAATCTAAGAGCAAATCTGATGATCCCCCAAATCACTCTCAGTGAGTCAATGAGCATTTAGTAAGCTCCTATTATATGCCAGACACTGTGGTAAGCCCTTACATATAGAGAAAGGCAGAAAACAAAGAAAAGGACCAAAACAAAACAAAAAATAAATAATCTCTGTTCTGGTAGTGGGGACATCATTCAAACAACTGCATATGCCAAAAGAATTTGAAATGCAGTTGAGTAGACTGGTCTCTGACCTGGGAGTAGCCACAACTGAACAAAACAGATAAGTAGCAGGTGTTTCAGGAATCAAGTAGTGGTTTAGTTAATTTTGGAGTGAGGAAGACAAGTTTGCGTATGGAAATCTCCCTCAATAGAGGGCCTTCTGTTGCTGTGCAAGGCAGAGTTTATACATCTAAAAAAAAAAACCAAAACACAAGGGAGGAGATCACAACACAATTGTTCTTAGGTCTTGAAACGGTTTCCATGGCAGGCCCAGGCCTGCAGGCATTTTAGGTACAGGTGCTCTTGAGTCCTGTGGGAATAGTTCTTAAGTTGATTGTCTCAAGTCTTTTTTTTTTCTTTTTTCTTTCTTTATTTGTTTCTTTATTTTGATTTGTCACAATCACTTCCGTAAGCTTTTGAGATTTAAATTTTTCTCCCACTCCCTCCTTCCCTCCCTCCCTCCCCAAGATGGCATGCAATCTAATATAGGCTATACATATACATTCTTATTAAACATTTTTCACATTAGTGATGTTATAAGTAAGAATTAGAACTAATAGGAAGACGCACCAGAAAGAGGAAACAAAACACAACAGAAGAAAAAATAGCAAAAACTATGCTTTGACCTATATTCAAACTCCATAGTTCTTTCTTTGGATGTGGATAGTATTTTCCTTCATGAGGCTTTTGGAGATGTCTTAGATCCTTACACTGCTGAGAAGGGCTAAGTCTATCAAAGTCAGTCATCACTCAATGTGGCTGTTACTGTGTACAACACTCTCTTGGTTCTGCTCACTTCACTCAGCATCAAACCATACAAGTCTTTCCAGGTTTATCTGAAGTCTGCCTGTTCCTCATTTCTTGTAGCACAATAGTATTCCATTACATTCACGTATCACATTCACAATTATGATTACTATCCGTGTCTTTCTCTCTATCCCCCCCCATTTATGCTTTTCTTTCTCCTTCTCCCTCCTCACTAATGTTTTGCTTTTGACCACTGCCTCCCTCTGTCCCACCTCCCTTCTATGAGCCCCCTCTCTTTTCTTTCCCCTTTTCTCTCTTACTGCCTATAGGGCATGTTAGATTTCTATACCTAACTGATTATGTTATTCCCTTCTTAATCCAAATCTGATGAGAGTAAGGTTCAAACAATGCTCATCTCCCTCCCTTCTTTCCCTCTGCTGTAATAGGATTTTGTGCTTTCTCCTGTGATGTAATTTACCCTTGTCTGCCTCCTCCTTTCCTTTTCTCTCAGTGCATTTTCTTAGTTACATCAGATTAATTCACTTACTTGGATCCATTCAACCCACTTGATTAGATTTTTTTCATCATTACATCAAAGTCAATTTATACCCACCCCCTTTATGTATACCCCTTTAACATGGTGTAATAACAATATACTTCTCAAGAGTTCCAAGTGTCATCTTCCCTTGTAGGGATGTAGAGTTTGCCCTTATTAATAACATGTTGGTACTTTCTGTCCCATTTACCTTTTTATGTCTCTTGAGTCCTGTATTTGACGATCAAATTTTCTGTTGAGGTCTGGTCTTTTTATCAGGAAGGTATGGAAGTCCCCTATTTCATTGGATATCCATCTCCTCCCCTAAAAGATCATGGTCATTTTCACTGGGTAGTTGATCCTTGGTTGTAATCCAAGCTCCTTTGCCTTATGGAATATCATATTCCATGCCCTATGGTCTCTTAATGTAGAAGCTGCAAGGTCCTGTGTAATCCTGACTGTGATTCCATGATATTTAAACTGTTTCTTTCTGCCTACTTGCAGTATTTTCTCTTTGACCTGGTAATTTTGGAATTTGGCTACTATATTCCTTGGCATTTTCAATTTGAGATCTCTTTCAGGAGGTGATTGGCCAATTCTTTCTATGGCTATTTTACTCTCTGGTTCTAGGACCTCAAGGCAGTTTTCCTTTATGACTTCCTGAAAGATACTCTCCAGGCTCTTTTTTTCATCGTGATTTTTAGGTAGACCAATAATTTTTAAATGGTCTCTCTTGGATTGATTTTCCAGGTCAGTTGTTTTACCAATGACATATTTTACATTTTCATCTATTTTTTTCATTCTTTTGTTTTTATTTGGCTGATTCTTGCTGTCTCATAGAGTCATTAGCTTCCATTTGCTCAATTCTAATTTTTAACAAATTGTTTTCTTCTATTAGATTTTGTACCTCCTTCTCCATTTGGCCAATTTTATTTTTTAGAGACTTGTTTTCCTTAGTGTACTTTTTTCCAGTTGGCCAATTGTATTTTTTAAGGACTTGTTTTCTACAGTTAATTTTTGTCCTTCCTTTTCCAAGCTACTGACACTCTCTTGCATGCCTCATTTCTTTTCCCATTTTTATTTCTACCTCTCTTCATTTGACTTTTAAAATCCTTCTTGAGTTCTTCTAAGAAGGCTTTTCAGGCTTCAGACCAGTTCATTTTCCCTTTTGATGTTCCAGATGTGGGTTTGTTGACAATGTTGTCCTCTTCAGAAGTTCTACCTTGATCTTCACTCTTCCCATAATAAGAATCTACAGTAAGTTTCTTTTTGCTCATGGTGTTTGCTTATTTCCTGGCCTTTAAAGAAATTGGGCTCTCCTGCTGGGGGGCAGAGGGCACTTACCCAAGCTTCTTGTGTTGGGAGCCTAGGGCCTGGTTGATGGCTTTGTGTGCTGGGGCCTCCAATGTTGGCAGTTGGAGGCTGTAGGATTCTGGCAGCTTACCTGGTGCTGGGCTGGAATCAGCAACACTAGAACTCTAGGGGTAGGATTGGGTAGTGTGGCTCCTGGAGACTTCCTGCTCACCCAGGCCTTTCCTTCCTTTTGCTTTCTTCAGCTCTTTTCAGATGGATGTTGTAGAATGTTTATCCCCCTAGAGTCCCTTGGAGTGCTGCTTCCCTTAGTTTTGCTGAGGCACTGGAAGAGCCAGCTGCTGTAGAATGCTGAGGCACCTGGTGGTTTTCTGAGCTGGTTTGCCCCGGTTCCCCTCTCTTTCCCCATACCCCCATTCACCTCCTCCCCCCCCTCCTCAATGAGGAACTTGGGGCCCAGGTGTTGGTGTTTGCCTGCTGCACCACCTGGGCTTCAGGATCTCCTCCTGGTATGCTGAAGTGGGACTTTCCACTAGCTTGCCAGAATGCCTCCCGTTCTGTACTGCTCCCCTTCCTGCAGGGCAAGAGGGGCCTTTCCTGTTAATTCTTCAAGCTACCTGGGCTATCAGACTGCTGCACTTCATCTTCTGGTTCAGCTGTTCCAGGGTTTTTCCTGGGGTTGATTGTTTCAAATCTTAAGCCTAATTGATTCTTGTAATTATTCAGTGTGGAACAGAACCAGAGTTAACACGATGGGAACAGGAGTGCAGTAACTTCTGGTTCAGTTCACTTGACACTTATAAGCTCAGGAATTTGTGAATTGTTAGAATGCCAGGAGTTCTTGATTTATCACTTTCTGTTGGTTGTTGGAGTTCTGTTCTGCATGTTGACTATAGCTATGGCTCCCAAGCCAGAAGCTCTTGGAAATATGGGAGTTCCAATCAATCTAGATAGAATGATCATTATGACATATCATATCAATTAATATGAGAATTATAAATCCCCTGACATTCCCTCCTTCCAATCAAAGGCTGAGACACCACTGAAGACCAAGGGGGCACATCCATCTGAAACATGATTTTGATTTTATGTAAGGCAGGAGTGAATAGCTGAGATACAAGATGAATACCAAGACAGATGACAAGGTAAATAAGGAGGAGAAATATCTGAGCAGAGTGGGCAGAGGGGAGAATGCTGCCAAGGTTTTCAGGTAATAAAGAGAATAAGTCAAAGGAAGGTGAGAGGGATACTTGCTTCAAAATGTTTTGGCCCCTATTGCACAAATCTTTGCTTGCCTGTTTAGAGCACTAAGGTCCTCCTCTTTGTAAGGAAAGACTTGCTGACCTAGAAACAATGTTTCTTTCCAATAACAAGACATGCCCATCGTTGCTTGACAGTTAGGGTATCAAGCACCCAGTCAATGTGCAGTATCATGAAGGCAAGTGAGTCAATCTGCATTTGGAGGCTGGTGATTAGCCATCCAGTACACTCTAGACCCATGGTTAACTCAGCCAGGATGTTCCTGAAAGAGGGGTCCAGGGAACCCAAAGTGACTGTGGTACCAGTCAGGAACAAGATGGCCACCAACAGAGCCTCAATGACAAGAAACTGAGCCTCCACTGTCACTGGAGAGACTATCTAACTGGAGAGGAACTTCAGTGGAGTGGTTCTCTGTGAATAGGGATAATTTGGGCATGGTATAGACAAGGGAACAGAGACCTTCCCAGAAGGTAGGGAGGCTGTGATATGGAGTAGAGCAGCATAAGAAGAACAATCCT